ATGAGCTTGAACAATCTGATGGACAACCCATCGGATATCGACAGAAACATGCTTGGGCGGCTCAACCGCGCCCCCGGGTCTGGTCGAGGCCGCTGATGGACGACAGGTACGCATGGCTGACGAGTTTTCATTGGCCCCCGCAGCATACGAGTAGACGGACTGGACGAGCATTGGATCGGCCCACACCGTTGACATGTATGCGAAGAAGAAAAAGGTCTGCTGGTCAGGCACGCACCTCCTTTGGTTCGAACAGTACAGTCAAGATCACCAGTTTCTCTGCAGTCTTCTCTTTCATTTGCATTTATTTTATTTGGTATTAGGGCCCGCGCAGCATCGATACGGCAGGAGGGGAGGTATTATTTGGCTTCGGTTCGGTGGAGGTGCGCGTCCCTTTGTTTTCCCTATCTTATTTCTTATTGTTTGTGTCCCCCGGCACTACAGTGTGGAGGGGCAAACGGAGGCACAAAATCGGGTCTGTGGCTTCGACAGGAGCGAACGAATGTGCTCTCGGAGCCGTTCTGTCCCATATTTCGACTTGTCTTAAAAGGTCAGCACGGTTTCGCAGGAGGTTTGTTTTTGCCTTGATAGAGCTATCTTGTTTCTCCCCCGCTGCTCGGAGTTGCCAGGGTGTTGTCGGCTGGGCTTGGTTTTGCGCAGTGGCTCTTGTTTGCATTGCTATTCTCGCAGTCATTTCCCCAAGGGGACGGATGGGTTAAGATTGGCCTGCCTCACGGCAAATGGTTTGTTTGTTGCGAATGGATTACTTGTTTTGCTTCTTCGCGATTTTTCCGTCCGTTTTTGTTGTTGCTGTTGTCGTTGACGTCGTCGTCTTCGGGCTTGTCTTTGTGAGCGAATATGGGTGCTACGCGTGTGTAAAGACATGGCAGGAAGGCAGCTGTGCCGAAGACCAGTCCTTGCTTGGACTGGACCAAAGCCCGGCGCATGTAGGAGGAAATGGGAGGAAAGGCTGGGCTGTCGATAGTCTTGAAAATGGAAGTTGAAGTTGTTTCCCACGTACGTCCTTGACACACCAAAGCAGCCGGGCCGCCGCAGATTACGTGGCGCTGGATCTACAAGAACGGACTCTCGTTGACTACCTACCCAGACCACCATTTTCTACACACACGGCATAGATTGGAGCTTTCCCCACTCTGTCCTGGCTGCTGGTGGCAGCAATGTGGCCCCAAACATGCACATATATCATAGACTTTGAGGCGTCGCTTCTATTTTGGGTTCTCTGGCAGAAGATGAAGATTGCATTCATTCGCTGCCATATGCGCACATGCTACCTGCTCTTTTCTGTATGCACAGGGGGGGGGCAAGCAAGACTCGCATCAAGTATCGCGGCCCTCGGTCTGAGTACCCGCTGAGGGTTTTCTCTGGTGACACCAGACGAGAGAGGGGCACAGGATGCACCGGCGCTGCGTGGGCAGAAACCCGCCAGACGGGAAACGAAGTACGGTACCCAAAACCCGGTAGGATGGTGCGCCGCCGCGCACCCTGGTGGGCGGCTGGCTGGAAACTTCGGGACGCGCGAGCGCGAGGGGCGTGGAAAAGGTGGGCGAGAGAGGGGGAGAGAAAGACAGAGACAGTGAAAAAATCCCACCCAAAACAGAGGTGACGCGACCAACGCTACGGTTCCGGTCAGCTGGGGGGGTGACAGGATGAGGCCAAGCATCTCGAGAACAAAGAAACTCGGGAAAGCGAGCGTGCGATCTCTGTCAAATTTGCCCAAATTTCGCACGCAGGACCCACCCAAACTCGTCTTGTAGAGGGTGAAAGAAAGATAGCCCATGCTTTGGAGGCCGTTTTGGGTTTCGCCTGGGATCTTGTCTGTGCTGGACGTGGACTCTATGATCCGCGAACGGGTTGAAACATCTCCGTTCATCGCGTGGCGAGCGCGGGTGCGCAGTGGAGGGAGAGGCTTTCTTCTTCTGTTTGCGTCCAGACTACACTCTCGCCCACACACAAACACACACACACACACACACACACACACACACACACACACACACACACACAATCAAACACGCATGCATGCCAACCGTCCCGTCCCCGCGCGCAACTTGATTCGGCTGCCAACTTGACAGTGCTTCCTTGCTGCCTCAACAGAACGACACGTATACTGACGACAGGGTTGTTCAAAATTGGTCTTTCGACCAGCCCAGTGCCAAGACAAGAACTGTAGTGGACATGTCTATCCGACACTGTGAGGGCAGGTACCCTTTAACACAGCCATAAGTATCGGATGAACAGGTGACATGAAGCGCATGCAACTTTCCAGATCCAAGCCTTTCCGCTGACACCCCCCCTTCATCAGGCGGTGTAGGGGCTGCGAAGGAATAAAGCTGTTCGGTAGGTCAAAAGGATTGAGCACTCCTAAACGCCCCTCCCGAAGGTACAAGAAGGCGCGCGCGGGATGGTGAGGGGCAGGGCAGGGTTGGGCAGGATGAGCCGGCGCGGGCAAAGCCTCTAGAACTAAGACGACGTTGCAGCTTCGGGTGCAACAGCGGTACCCTTGCCGGAGGTATTATCAGTTCTTGTTCGCGCTCTTTTCTTGCTTCAACTGACAGCCAATTAATCGGCTTTGTCCGTGCTCAATGGCTGCAGTTGGTAACGGCGGACTATGGAGTATATGCGTGGGTTGAGGGGAAAGGGAGGGGAGGAGGGGCGTAGATTGGATATCGTAAAGAGGGAGGGGGGGGGCGCGGACGTTTCTGGCGTTGGGTAGTCAGGTCTTTGGTCCCGCTCAAGCAGCGGAGGGGTATGCAAGCAAGGCCAGCTAATGCAGACGATCTGGCCCGCGGACGGACGTTGGCACTCGGGTACAGACTAACGCAGGTAAGACGTTGATATGTGGCATGCTAAATGGTGAACGACAGGG